GTAGCAAAGTTGTGTACTCTTCAATAGTAGGAACCAAGTCCTCCTTATTGAGAGTGAAGCAATTGTACCCTGTATTCCAGAATTGAATTAGGGCTCGAAGTAAGTCATCATCAACTTCGACATAGAGCAAATATGGGATGTCTCCGTAAGTCTGATAAAACTGCAACTTTTTGTTTGAGTCCCAACTCTCCCAAATGCCTCGCAAATCTTGCATATCATTTCTTTTTAGCGAAACTGGAGCATAATTGGCTAACTCAGATACATAGTCATCCTGCAGACTGTCTCCCCCTTGTCTTTGTAAATCCTCAGCCCACTGTCTTACTTCTGAGTTTAGAACTATTTGATTTGAATATTTTTTATCCATGGATAAAGGTTTTCCAATGAGACAATTAGCACGAGGATCAATGCCTTTTATCCTGTATGATGCTATGAAAACAGAAGAAATAAAGAACACAAAAAAATGAATTAGTTTACATAATAAAGGAAAAAAATAATTTAATAATAGTGTCTACCTAAATATCTTTATTTAAACATGCTTTCTTCATACTTTAAATAATTTAAATTCACATGCAATTTATTCAGTAAGAAAATAAATAAATAAATTAAAAGGAAAAGTTAGAATTCATTTCTCCTGTGTGTACACCTATTTTGGACAAAATTTCGGCATGGCTTCAGATCGGAATAGTTTCTAAGGTTTATTATATGCAGGGTTTCAGATCTAAGAATAAAGGTACCCGAATTGTCCTTGTTAGTGCCCCCTTGGGCTGTTAACCCTCAATCCTAGTCCATCACAGACTAAAGTGGATCGAGTTCAATTCGAGGGGATACACTTCTCTATGCCTGATACGGAGAATAAATTGTCACGAAGACATAGAGCATATGAACCCCGAAAGTTAATTGCTAGGTCTGACACGGAGAATAAATTCTCACGAAGACGTCGCTGTCACTCCCACTTAAAAGGGACAAACTCAATTATAGAGCTTTATGTTATGCAATGCAAGTGTTGTGTGTGAGGAGAAATGTTCAAACCTCTAACAAAAAAAATAAATAATAAAATAAAATACTTGCAAAAAAATAAAATATTAATAAAATAATATATATAAATACTATGAAAATAATAAGTATATATAAAAAATTTGAAAAGAAAGAATTATAAATTAAATATATGAATTTTTAATTTATAATTAATAGAGACAATTTATGATTGATTTTAAAAGCTTGACTATTTTTCCCCAGCGGAGTCGCCAAGCTATCGTAACCGGTTTTCGTCCGGGCACGAAATATTTATTTGGCGGGAAAAGTGATGTGAATAAATGGTTTTTAAAATAATTTGGGAGTCGCCATCGGCATTTTGGGTCAGGTAGGTCGAATACCTAAAAATCATCTTTTAAAAGAGTTTTTAAGAAAACATCAATTAAAAGATAAACTGGTCTGCGTTTTAACCAAAAAATCGTTCTTTTTAATAATAAAAAGGGATTCGTGGTCGGTTACATTTAGGGAAGGATTAGCACCCCTACAACGCCCAAAATTGGTACTTTTTAATTATAAATTGTCTCTATTATTAGAAATTTAAAAATTCAAAATATATTTAATTTATAATCATATTATTTCAAAATTATAATTATGAAAAAAATATATTAATTTATATATATTTATAAATAAAATATTTATTTATTTAGAAATATCATAAAAGGACTTCTAGGTGCCTTAAGATAGCTCTTTTCTTCGATATTAAAAAATAAATAAATAATTAAAACAATTAATATATAATTTATAAAATAGTATATTTATTTATTTAAAAATATCAGAAAATGGACATCCAGTTGTTTTAAGACTGCCCTTTCTTAATATTGAAAAATAAATAAATATTAAAACAGGATTAAAATAAGTTAAAAGTAATTAAATAAGATTTTAATAAATAAAATAAATATTATAAATATATATATTTATGGCTAAATAGTAATAATAGTAGTAATAATAATTTAAAGTAAACATATAAAATTAACATATAATGAACAAAATTAAAACTATATATTTAAAATAAATAAAAATTGAAATTAGTGACTAAATTATAACCTAATAGAATTAAATACCTAATTCATAATTAATTATTTAAAATTTCAGTGGCTAAATATGTTATTCTACCCTTTTATTAATTTAGTGACTAGATTAAAATTATATCAAATTCGTATATCAAATTAAAAGAAATTAAAACATGTTATTCAGGATTTAAAATATTAATTAATAAAGTTACGAGGACTAAATCGGCTATTTTAATTAAAATATATATTAATGTTAATGACTAATTTATAAATTAAATAAAATTAAGAGATCAAATTAAAAAAGTTCATAATTTGATTTCAGTGACTATAATGGAAAATTACAAAGCTACTGGGCTGCGGACAGGGTTTGTCCTTTAATTAATTACACACAGACCCCTCCCCAAAACGACGTCGTTCGGGGAGGGGTATTTAACCCTGAACCGAATGGCCTTAAGGCCATTTTCTTTTCTTTCCTTCTTCCTCTCTTTCTATCTAAACTAAGAGAGTTTTAAACTCTCTCGCCTCTCTCTTCAAACCTCCAAACGGAGGTTGGCCGGCTATCGGCTGATAGCCATACTCCAGCACCGACACCACCGCCGGCCACCACCCACGGTGGCCGGAATATGCAAAAACACCCTAATCTTAAAGATCTACCTGCCACGAACCCGAATCTAGCCTCCTTTTATCCTAAAAACCCTTAAATCTAAGAAAATACCTTCGGTATTTTCGGTTCTCCAGCAAGATGTGAAGGCTCTGATGATCGCGTGTCTCCATTGGTAAGCTTCTCTCCTTTTTCTTTCCTTCTGTTTTATGGATTTTGGTGGTTGTTGTGTTATTTTTCTCTCTGGCTTCTTCCTCTTCTCCTTTCTTTGCAGGTTCGGTTGATGGTTTTATAGCCATCACCGGCGCTTGTCTCAGACCGGGTAAAAGGGTTGTAGTTTGGTGAGTCACCAAACTTCCAGTGGTGACTCACCGTTGAGGGCGACATGTGTGCGGTTGGAGTGGCTCTTCTGGAAACTTTCGACGAGGCGTGGCAGCGGTGGAGATGGTGGGAGTAGCTGTAGCGGCCGCGTGGCCCTAGGGTAATGATACCCTAGGGTTTTGTCTTGAGCCATCTGGGCTGTTGGATCTAACCTAGATCCAACAGCTGGTAAGGAGAGCGGCGGCTGGGATGATACAAACCCTAATTAATTTAGGGTTTCTATTGGGCTCCTGATTTGGGTTTGATTGTAAGCGGGCCTCGGGTATTGGGCCTGTAATAATATTTATTAATAATAAAACAAAAAATAATTATAATTATAATTATAATAATAATAATATAAATAATATTCAAATGAAAAAAATGAGTATCTTCACGTTTAGCTTGATATTCTTTTGGTTTCGTCGATCTCCGGAGTTGAAGATCCGTATGGGAGTCTTGCTAAGCATGTTGAGTTGGGCGGAGCTTCAATCCTCCACGAGAAATCCAAAGCTTATTGCATGCCTTGGTTAGTTCCTCTCGATATTTCAACACATGTCACAATTAGCTTCCATCAATTGATTCAGCTCCGGGTCTTTCGAAGTGTCTCTTGATATCACTGAAGATCGTTGCCTTGCTTCAAACTTCTGTCTAGCAGCAGCTAGTCAAGGCACTATTTCAGGCGAAGCTCTACACTTTTGAAAATCCATATAAGCTTCCAAGAGGCTATAGTACTGAGGATGAGCAACGATTCTGGCTTTGGTAGCTTCTGTCTTATTTGAGGATTCGATCCCTTCTTATCGGTGATGAACCGCTTGGTGCCCTCTAAACAAAAGGATAGTGAAATTGTCTTGACCACGTTAAGAGGTGATTATTAGAGAAAATGAGTTGTCTTTGGCTATTGATGAACATATAGATAAATGTTTATCACAAATTTTCACTCTGAGTTCGTACGCTCAGAGAATGCTTTTATGATAATGGATTATTACACACTCTCCATCTCTTTCATAATTGAGGAGTGGTTGGCTTGGTGCCTACATATAATAATGGCATTAACAGGTGTCCACAATAATTGTTACGAGCCAATATACATGTGATTTTAATAATTACAATAATTGGGGTGTTACAATGGTTGCTAGGAACCGTGATGGATCAAACTGATCCATCGTGATGCCTTTACAAATTAAATCACCCAGGCTTAATCTTCCATTCTATATACACATGATGGAGAATAAGAACAACCAAGTTACTAAAGAAAAAATGATTACAAGAGTTTAATTACTCGATGGAGAGTTTTTTTTTACCTTGGGGAGGGAATCGATGTAGCTTTTTGGGATTTCCATTTCGGATAGGATTTCTACATTGATGTTATTTTAATTTATTAAAACTAGGATCAAATTGAAAGAATATATAAATAACATGGACTATTTGTGTAATTATACCATCCAGGTAAGCCTGATAAAGGCTGTTAACGGTCCACGTTTGTTTTTTCGTCATGCCTGTTAAAGGCGAGTGACCAATTTATAACAAACGATAACGTTAGTGACTGATTTATGCTTTTGAAACATTAGTAGTGAAAAAGAAAACTTTCCCAAACATTAGTGAGCATTTGAGTAGTTTACCCGTCTTTTAAACTAGTCAAATAAAATAAGATCTAATATTTTTAAATCTACTTAAAAAAGAGTTACAATTGAAATTTTATATAAATTATTATATATATTGTTTTTTTAATAATTTGGGATAATCTATTTTAAAAAAATTATTTATTGTTAATATGCATATAATCTAAAGGTATAATTATTTGAATCAATTTGTTTTAAAAAATAATATTTTTATCACTAATACCAGACTCCTATATCAATATAGTTAAAGTTTGCATAATATAATTAGTTTCTCTATAGTCTAATTAGCTTGCATAGTCTATTAGTGCAGTCTTATCAATATTATTGAAAGATATAATTATAAGCAGGAATTGAACAGAAAATTGATAAAGATACAAACTAAGTTAACAAAGGTGGTTGCGGCAGTGGTGGTGGCGCAATTAGTGGCTCAACTGATGATGGTGACGGCGGTGGAGCTGGTATAGCTACCACCGGTGGCGGTGGAGCTGTTATAGCTACCACCGGTGGCGGTGGAGCTGTTATAGTTACCAGAGGTGGCGGTGGATCTGTTACCGTCACCTCTTCTGGCGGTGGTGGAGCCTTGTAAGCAGGAGGCTCTACGAACCTGAAGTGAGGAGGAAGACTCCTCTGAGGAGGTGGGGGGCTTGAGTTGAATCGCTTTATCCTTTTCACAACATTGTTAAAAGGTTTTGAACGAATCTCTTCCGACAAAGAACTCGAAACGGTGGCTTCGCCGGCAGCTATTCGGAAGTAGGAATAAACCGACTATATGTGTGCCGTATCTAGTCAAACCGAATCGGATCCAGCTTTATCTCAAAAACTAGCTCGAGTGAAATCTACTTAGACCCAAATATTATGTAATGTCAGGTTTCGGATTTTAGTGTTTACGAATTGAGCAAACTAAATTGGAAGGGTCGTCTTAGTCTCTGTAGTGCTCGATCTAAATTAATCGATCAATAGATCAAATATTATGATTAATTCAATATATATATATATAAAATACTACATCAAGTTCGTGTCGATAAAAATCTCGATTCCTAAATTCGATGTCAAATCTAACAATTTACATAAATTGTTATATAGTTTTCTATTTTTAAAATATAGAATTCACCTAAACACAAATTTAAGAATTAATATAGAATTCAGTCAAATCTCTAAACAATTATCATATTTATCTATTTTTAGAATATATAAATCCTAAATTCACCAAAAAGGAACTCTAAATTCATGGATCCGAGACAGAGATATGATATTTACATTGATTGGTCTAATTGTCAGCTTCACAATAAATTCAGCATTTACTTCGACCAGTGCCCTTGTTCTATATTTGTTGGTGGTAGGTTGCCTATTAATGTTTCTACTTATTCGATTTTATTTTCTAATAAAATTTAAAATGAGAAATAATTATAAAATAATATAAATATTTTTTATTTTTCATATTCGTTTCATGATTTATGTCTGAGTAACATTAATCATAAATATAACACTAAATCTGATGTTAGTATTAAACAGTCGTGTATATGTAATTTTATGTCAAGTCCTTCCATGAAATTTCCAGATGAAGATGAACAAATTGGTCTGGAAAAAAATTAATGGCTACAATTTGGTATATCATGGGACGACAGTATACAGATGATATGTTGAAAAATCTCTATGGAGGGGGAATTACTCTAGGGTATGAAGTAGTCAGGTCGGGAAACTTTTCCGATCACCACCATTGGCCTAACGACAAACACTTCCTCAAATCCCATCCCCGGATCGTTGCAAAACTCGTTGAATCTCGTCTGCCATCCCTTGTAACACGGCAGGTTTTCGAATAACCGCATTCATTCCCATTTGTAGGCATTTCTCCCGCACATGATCCTCAGCACTAGCTGTCAAGGCTATAATCAAAGCCCAATTCCGGCTGCGGAACTTACGGATTCTCATCGCCACTTCGAATCCATCCATTTCCGGCGTGTGAAGATCCAAAACAACAACTCGGAAAGAATTGTCAGCATGGGTAACTGCACTGAGACATTCAAATCCGGAAGAAACAGCAGTCACTTCACAACCGAGCTTCTCTAGCAGCTTCTTCGTCACGGTCCTGTTTATATCATCATCATCGGCTAGTAAAACTCGGACACCTCTGAACCTGGAGCTGGAATATCGTTGCTCATAGCCATTTCCGGGCGCAAAGATGGCTTTCCCCTTATATGATTGGATTTCAAACCTTAGAAGAAGTGTCATACTTTGTGCAAAGCCCAGGGAGTTCGTCGATACCTGGATATTACCTTGCATCATCTGCGAATACCGAACAGAGAGTGCACCATTAATATTTTCGTTCGTACAACGGAATAATTTATCATTAACAGCAGTACTCGAAACAAGGTACAGAATTGACAATTAAAACAAAACAACCAGAATATTCACCTGCACAATCTTTTTACACATACTGAAATTCAAGCTCCCCTTACTTTCATTGTCGTTACTCTTCCTATTAGGAGAAAGCCGGGTTGTGACCGATGAATCAGCCCGAGAACTGCGCCCAAGAATAGCAACTTCAATCTTCAAGGGCAAGAAATTATATTGTGTGCTTGATCTCCATTCATTTGTTTTGCCGTTCTTACCGAGGCTACCAACATCCGGTAAAACCCGAAATAAGACCGTTCCTCCTCCACTATTGATGTCTAGTAGGTAGCCGACCATATGCAGAATCACTTGGAAATGTCCTTTTCTCATCACCGATAACTTGATCCGGCAAAGAACTGTGAACGCCAACTTCAAATCCAAAGCCTTTATAGACCGACAAGCACTTGGCGAGGCACGAAGCTTCTTTTATCATGGAATGTAAGCTAAAAGGCCTTATATCGAGCACAGATCTTCCATCATCTTTTGCCGAAATCTCAGTCACGTCGTTTATCAAAGTTGTTAGAACACTGCTTGTTTTAACCAGTGTGCTGACAATGGTTTTCTGGTTTATGTTCATATTTTAATCTTGGAACACTGAAAGTAAGCCGAAAATCGAGTGCATTGGTCTCTTCATGCTATGGCTCATCACTTTCTGGAAAGTGTTCCTTGCTTGACTCGCCATCATCGCGTTTTTCTGTTCCTGCTGCAACAAATGATTTTGCTGACCCAATTTTTCCCTCATTAGCTGAGATTCTTCGAGAACTGCAGCATGGGACAGTGCTACCGCTACCTGATCAGCAACCACTTCAACAATCTCCATTTCTGGATAACTCCAATTCCTCAAGCTCAAATTCGGAAGAACCAATACCAGAATAGCATAGCAAGTCTCTACCGATTCCCGCGTTCTCCCTTTAAAATTATAACCTTGAAGAATCGGCATCCTGATTGCCGCAACGGCACCTGCCTCATCAGATCCACTTCCACTTGCAATACCAAGTGCCGAGTCTGGTCTCAAGATTCTCACCCCTTCAGTCTCCTTTACCTCCTTCACATCAGGATCATCAGTCGGGATACAACTGTGAAAACTCCTTGAAGAACTCGGTTTCAACTCATGAGTCAAACTCATTTGTGATCTGCTCTGGTCCGGCATCCACACTGCACAGTTGTTCAAATCCAAAGTCTTAGACAACTCAACCAAAGTAGTGTACAATATCGTATGTGTATCAACTGATTTCCGGATTTCCTGCGTTAACATCCGAACGTGCAAACCTGCTTCCTTCCATTTCTTCATCATACCAACCTCTTGGTCCAGTTCCAATACATTTTGCCTCAAGAAAAGCTGCCTCACTTTCCATTTAAGCAACAAAGGGATTAAAGGCAAAAGTGCTATCGCAGTGGCACACGAGACAAGGGCAGTGAGGAATTTAACAACAGTGAGCAAAAGCATCAACCGGAACGACGAGTGAGGACCATAATAGGTCCATCCATTGAGAAGATGAGTCAATCCACAAAGCACTATGAAAGCTATAAACTGAACAAGAACCTATTTGAAGGGGAAGTTCGAGAACCTAATGAAGTAAAGGAGTTCGATAGGTATCGAAAAATACGCGACCGCAATCAAGAAATCACTCACTTTCTGGCACTCTAAAATGCTATGTATACTCCACAACCCATCATCGTCACAGTTACAATTCACAAACGCGTTTTCAGTTGCAGAAACCAAAACCACAAAAAATGAAACCGACACCAAACCAAGAACAAAAGCTCTTAACATTGCCATCCGTACATGTAAAACCCTAAACCCTAAAATAAATAGAAATTCGATATCCGCCTAACTGTACAACCTATAGCTGAAATCTTCAGCAAACACAATAAAATCCCATCTCCCAAAATTACCCAGATTCTTCTATGTAATCAAATAACACCCTAACCCTAGATTTCAATATCTAAAGCATCCCATATGCTCTAATCTCAAAAAAAGAAAAAAAAATAAATCTTTATGCTAATTCTCAGCAATCAAACGTTGATTTTTCACACTCCTCGGTCCTCTGAGGCCTTAATATATGTGAATGTGATGAACTGCTCAAGAAAAATAAGAAAGGATTTAAGGAATAGAGAATTTAGGTTGAAGAAAATAGAATCATAACATTTTCATTGATAAGTTTTCATTTGGTTACACTGATTTTTATAGAAAATAGCTCATAACAAATTGCCAGCTGTATTCTTCTATAACAGACTTGATTCCTTAACCGTTTTATTATTTTTTTTGTGATTTCAGGCTGTTGGGCTTGTTTCATGCTCTGGCCCATCATTCATCTGATCCTTTGCTTCCTTACCCATTTCCCACGCCTGGTCCAGCGCCCATCAGGTAAATTCTTCACCCAATTCTTCTGCTCATTCATTTTCTCAATTCCCTTTTCATTTGAAATCCCTAAATTCCCCTTGTTTCCCCTTTCTTCCTCATTAGCTTCCAGTGAAATCCCTAGATTCACCATGTTTTTCCTTTTCTCCTTCCTTAACTTCCAATTTTGCTTCATGGGTCATGACAGTACCCCTGGCAGCAATCGATCCTTGTCCCCAAGGATTAAAATCAGGGAACTGAGAACGCAATACGGTGAAATTCTCCCAGGTAGCATTTTCAACTCCCAGATTCGACCATTGAATCAATAACTGTGTAACTGCCTTGTTATTTCGCTTAATAACTCGTTTATCCAAAACAATCGCAGGATAAACACGAAGCTGGCCATCAATAGTAAGTTCAGGTAAGTCTTTGGTAGCAACATTGTTATCCCCAATCTTTCTTTTTAAAAGACTGATATGAAAAACAGGATGAAGTCGAGAATGATTTGGTAATTCCAATTCATATGCGACTGATCTAATTATGCGTTTGATTTTGTAGGGTCCATAATAACGAGCAGACAATTTCAAGTTTCTGCGTAGAGCCAAAGATGTCTGCTTATAAGGTTGAAGCTTAAGGTAAACCTCATCACCTTTCATAAACTGTCTATCACTCCTTTTTTGATCTGCATAATACTTCATTCGATGCTGTGCTTTACTAAGTTGATCAAGCAGTATACTATTGATATTGTCTCTGTCTTTCATAAACTGTTGCACATCAGCTACTTGTGAGTCAGTAGTCCAAGTCATAGTTGGCGGTATATAACCATATAAAGCAGTAAAGGGAGTAGTACACAATGCTGTATGAAAACTTGTATTATACCACCATTCAGCATGAGAAATCCACTTAGCCCATGAACTAGGCTTTAAAAAACAAAGTCCTCTTAAGTACTGTTCAAGACATTGATTAAGTCTTTCTGTTTGACCATACGTTTGAGGATGATAGGCAGTTGTAAATAGGGTTGTAGTCCCTAATAACTTCAATAACTCCTTCCAAAAAACACTGGTAAAAATCTTATCTCGATCAAACAGAGCAACTTTAGGTTGTCCATGGAGTTTGTAAACTTGCTCTAAATAGACTTTAGCAACATCAGAAGCTGTAAAAGGATGAATCAGTGGTAGAAAATGCCCATACTTAGTGAACTTGTCAATTACCACCAAAATAGAATTGTATCTATTAGAAGGAGGCAACCCCTCAATAAAGTCCATGGTAATGAACTCCCAAGCTTGCTGTGGAATAGGTAATGGTTGTAGTAGCCCAGGTTGCAAAACATGTTCTTGTTTAATTCTCTGACAAACATCACACTGCTGAACATACTGTTTAACCAGTGTCTTCATTCCCTTCCAATAAAAATACAATTTTAGTCGATGATAAGTAGCCTGTATGCCAGAATGGCCACCTTGTGGTGAATCATGAAGTGTAGAAAGAAGTTGATTCCTTAATCCTCATGTGTCACCAATATACACTCTGCCTTTATATCTTAGGATCCCTTTAGTATAGGACTAGTCAGTCATGCCATTAGGATCAAATAACAATTTAGGAATTAAATCCTTAGACAAAGAATCAGTTTCATAACTGTTTTCCACCTCAATGACCCAAGTATGAATGACTATTGTAGCAGATAACTGTTGAAATTCAGAATCAACTTCAAACTGTCTTGATAAAGAATCAGCAACTCTGTTGTGTTTACCTTTGCGAAACTGAATAGAATAATTCAATCCCAACAATTTTGTAAGGCCCTTCTTCTGAATTGTAGTAGTTAGCTTATGTTCAAGCAAGTGCTTCAAGGACTCATGATCTGTTTTAATTATAAAAGAAATGCCTTCAAAATAATGTCTCCATTTAGAAATAGCCATTAAAATAGCTAAATACTCTTTCTCATAAATCGATAAATCAATCTGTTTTGGTCCCAAAGCCTTACTGAGGTAA